CATGCTTCAGCCCTCCCTGAGCCTCCTAGAAGCAGGTCCCTAGCTACTTCCACATGGTGATGGTATCTTAGCGTACTGATGGTGTGTGCACATGTACCAGATGCCCATTCCACTAGGAAATACCCAGTATCTTAGGTGAATGTTTTGCTCCTTCCCCCAAGGGTCTTGAGCTACTACTTTCACTTTCTCCATCCATACCCAAGGGTAGCATTTCCCACAATTTGGAAAACTGTTCTAGAGAGTGAAGATTTCCTGATGGATTGTGCTCCTTGGAAAAGAAGAGGGCAATCCACATAGCCCCTGAGCAGGGTCCTACTTGGAGAACAAAGCCAGTGAATTGACAGTGGAGATCTGATGGAAAGGCAATTGGTTTTTAGTCATTTCAGTCATGTCGGACACTCCATGACCCCATTTGGGGTTTTCTTGGCAAAGACACTGGAGTGATTTGCCATTTCCTTCTCCAGCTTATTTTACAGATGAGGAAACTGAGGTAAACAGGGTTAAATGACTTGCCAAGGGCCACACAGCTAGTATCTGAGTATTTGGTTTTTTAGCAGTCTCCAACATAGGTTTATCTTCTGGGAGGGTAATTTAAAATACAAGGTGTCACTATGAGACTGGACAAGGTTGTGTCTGATCCTGTGGGACATATTACATTGGAAGGTTGGGGTGTTGTTCTAAAGGCAACCCCAAGTTCAGTTCCCTTTTGAGGGCTGAAGATAGTAAGAAGAGCTGATGAGCTATTTCAAGCTATGAGCCCTTTTTTCTTTTGCATTTTGGGATTGGGATTTGCATTTTGGATGTAATAAAAATTGCCCATAGTCAATAGCTAGCATTTATATAGCACTTTAAGGATGGCAAAATGCTTTTATCAACTTTGTCTCACCTGATCCACACAACACTAGGAGGTAGATGCTATTATATTTTACAGATAAAGAAACTGAGACAAAAAGGGGTAAGGGCCCAGGGTCAAACAGCTAGTAAATGTGTGGATTTGAATTTATCTCTTCCTGACTCTGGGTCCAACACTCTATCCTCTTATTGTACCTTGAGTACCTTGAGCTGGAAACACTTTTTATCCATATTTGGGGAAACCTAGACACAAGTTATAGCATGAGTATACATAAGGATATTTTCTTTCTTTCTTTTTTTTATTTTTGCATTAGTCATGTTGTAAAGAAGAATTAGAACCAATAGGAGGAACCATGAGAAAGAAGAAACAAAACAAAACAACAAAAAAGCAGTATACTTTGATCTGCATTCAGACTTCATAGTTCTTTCTCTGGATGTGGATAGCATTTCCACCATGAGTCTTTTGGATCCTTGATCCTTGCATTGCTGAGAAGAGCCAAGTCTATGAAAGTTAGTCATCAGACAACATGGCTGTTATTGTGTACAATGTTGTGGTTCTGCTCACTTCACTCTGCATCAGTTCATGTAAATCTTTCCAGCTTTTTCTCAAGTCCGTCTACTCATCATTTCTGATAGCACAATAGTATTCCATTGCATTCATATACCACAACTTGCTCAGCCATTCCCCAATTGATGGGCATCCTCTCAATTTCCAGTTCTTGGCCACCACAGAAAGAGCTGCTATAAATATTTTTGTACATGTGAGTTCTTTTCCCATTGTTATGATCTCTTTGGGATACAGCTCTAGAAGTGGCATTGCTGGGTCAAAGGGGGATATTTTTTTGAAACAACTCCAAGTGGGATCCGTGAGGAAAACAGAGAAAATGGCCTGTATGGGTCAAATCCAATCCCTGCAGTCTCAGATTCTTGGGGTGAGGAGTAGGGAAAAGGGGGAAGGGAAAGGCATGAATCATGGGTTACAGATAAATGAGGGTATATCAGTTCTCTTTTCAAAAAGGTCTAGAGTTTCCTTAAATAGTGAGTTTCCCTACACCATTTAAGTATTTGCTTACAGATCATTCATTATTTGACAGACTTAGGATGGGAGTGAGTGTGAAAGGGACTGGGACATAGAGAAAGTTAAAACTAAAGAAAGTCATTACAGATTGAATATCAATTAGCAATGGAAGCATAGTGTTCCTGGAATAATAATGTAACTCAATGGAAAATATGACTATTTAGAAAAATCTAAATAAGGCATTCACACATATATGAATGTGGCTGAAATATATTCATATATATCAATGAATCTACATATATATACACACACATACACATACATACACACAAACATACCCAACTAGGAAATGTATATACACAGACATATATGTGAATGTATGAATGTGATAAAGATTACACTGAATTCACGGATAGCGTTTTCTCCTTTGATAAGATTTTGCCATTTCTGAGAACTTTTGAGAAGCTATGTGCTACACACTATTGTTGAAAATTATCCAATCCATCTCAGGCAAAAACATCCCAAGATTTCTGACTTTTGGTGAAACTGGCCCAGGCTATTAACTACCAAGTTTACTGAGACTGCCGGCCAGTGGCCACGGATTCTATCTCCACAGTGTCTTTTGCATTCGTCCCCTTCTTTCTCTTCACATGGCCCTCATTACCCTTACTCCTAGACTACTGTCATAGCTTTCTGTTCTCCTTGCCTCAAATTCCTTTCCCCTTCAATCCATTTTCCACTCAGTTACTAAAGAGATTTTTCTAAAGATTTTCCTTCCCTTCCTCCTCCCATTAAATAAACTCTAGTGGCTCTCAATTATTTCCAGGACCAACCAATCAATTAAATACTCATTATGTCCCAGGCACAGTGCTAAGTCCACCTTTGTCTGGCATGTAAAGCTTTCCATAATGTGCTCTAAATCTAGCTTTCCAGCTTCATTTACATAACTGCCCATCATGCACTCTGCCATCCCAACAAACTGGCCTTGTTGGTGGTCCTCACACATGGTGGTCATCTCCTGTCTCCTATGGGCTAACCCCCTATGCCTGGAATGCATTCTCTCTTCACCACCACCCCTAACAATGACTAGTTTCCTTTAAAACTCAGTTCAAGGGCCATCTTCTACATGGTTCTTTTCCCGGTAGTGCCTCCCCCTCCCAATTTACATTGTGCTGGTATTGTTTATATGCTCAGAGATGTACATGTTTTCTCCCCCTATAGAATGTAAGTTCCTTGGGGGCAGGGACTATTTCATTGTTTTCTCTGGTCACTAGGTTCTAGCACCTATTTGGCACTGAATAAATGTTTGTTGGTTGATTGATCCATCCAGTGCTGTGATTTATCTCCCATGGGGGACTCCCCAGAAGGAAGAAACCCTCCAAACTGTTCTCTATTTCTCTTTCTGTCACAACTGTCCTCCTATCAGGAGCTCTCCTGTCATGATGTATAGAAGTCATGATGTATAGAAGCATCATGCACTGAGGACTCTCCTGAGAGCCTAAGGCTGGCCCCCAAGCACTCTCTGCTATACTTTAACGTGCCATTCTCAGGGAGGTGCCAGGAAGGGCTTACTCATTGGTCCTGTATAGGATGCTGACTTTAGGAGAAAATGTGGGAGAGGAGCAGAGAGGAGTCCTTTCCACTCTCGAATCTGCCCACGTGTTCTTCAGAATGGAGGGGAGAATGGAGCAGATCATCAAAGTTCTTCTTGTCTAATTAATTCCTTTTACTATGTACAGACCTCTCCTGAGTCAGCCACCATGCCTACGAAACTTCAGATCAATATCTCTGAAGCGTGCACTAATGGTAAAAAGGAGTTATCATTAAACATTAATTGCTCAGCATATGCTAGGCTCTTAATAGATTACAAGATATACAGTTCTGGCCTAGATGCAGAGGGCGGCGTGGACTGTGTCGGGACTGATCTGTTCGGGGTGACTGGCTTTCTGATTGAGGACAATAGCTACATTTAGCTAGAATACGTAGAATTATAGAATACTGGGATGGGAAGAGAGCACACTGCACAGAATTCACAAAGCTCTGCCTCCAACACAGTACTTTCATTTGTATTGACATCTTTGTTATCATGTTTTGAAGCCCCACCTTCATTTCTGAATATGGTCCTTCCCACCCAGAGACCTATCCCTTATAACAAAGAATAAGAAAAAGAGGGAAAAAAACCAAGCAGTTCAGTAAAACCAACCAACACAACCGAGTCTTATATATGAAGTATTCCATAGCCATAGTTACCTACATCTGCAAAGAAGGGAGGGAAGTGCATTCTCATATCTCTTTTTCAGAGTTAAGTTTACAGTTACACAGCATTCATGGCTTGTTGTGGTCAGTATGCACATTCTTCTAATTCTGCTTGATTTACTTTGTACCAGCTCATACAAGACCTCAGTAAGTGAGACAGGCTCACCTGGGAGCTGCAGCTTGAAAATGAGAAAGCAAGGGAGTGGAAAAAAGAAAAACATTCTTGGAATAAGCCAGTTCTTTTTTCATATGCATCATTTTTTACTAGGAAGTAATATAACTATTACATTCATGTACCACAACTCGTTTGGCCATTTGGCAAACAATTGACATTTATGTTGTTTCCAGTTCTTTGTTACTACAAAAAAATGGTGCTATGAGTATTTTGGCATATATGGAGTTTTTTGGGTTTCTGACCTTCAAGGATGGTCAGACATTTAACAAAATGTCCAATAAAAAGCGTTGGAAAGCTAAACAAAAGGAGATACGTCCTCTATTCCAATGACATGTTTGCTCAGGCCCAGATTACGGCTATAGTTTTGAATTATTTTTTTGAATTTGAATAATTTTGAATTATATTTTATCAAATTATATATTTTAATATATACTGGTAAGGATTCCAAACTAAGATACCAGTAAAAATTTAGAATATGAATAAAAATAATTTTGTGGTCTTAATAGAACAGCCCTTTTATTAGAATTTTTAACATTAAGTGAAATTGGACCTGGGAGGTGAAGAGCTTATTATTATTGTTCCTCCCTAGTTTTTTCAGAGGACCATTGACATCATGGGGGTGCATCTTGACTTACTGTGAATTAGATTTTTAAGTGAGGCACAGCTGCACAAAGTCATCAGCCTCACTATCTCTTCCAGAGTCATCGAAGTCCAGTGGCAAGACTGGTGATGGCCCAAGATGCAGTGAATGACTTTGGCATCTTCAACGTTCGACCAAGCTCTAATTGCTCAGTTGTAACCCTCAAAAACTCATTCATGCTGTACTCACCTCAATGGAGTGTGAGGGAGCAATGTAAGTTAACCTAATATTAACAAAGCTAATAAATGTCTGAACTGGATTCAGATCTGGGTCTTCTGATCTGAAATCTAATTCTCTTACTACTGTACCACACTGCCATCCCTCATGTTTGGATGTGCTCTTTCTTTAATCCTACCTTTTGAAATCTTCCTCCTTCAAGGTCCAACTGAGGTGTCACTTTCTTCATAAAGTCTTCCACGGTCTCACCAGTTGAAAATGATTTCTTTGCCCCCTCAAATTGTCCTTTGGATCTGGATCTCTCCTTTGCCCCTACCACTCTCTGACCTTTATCATACTTACCTGGGAATGGTGGCAGTGCCATGACAAGAACTAGAGTGTGGTTGCAAAATAGATGTTTTATTAAAAGTGATAAAGATCAATGATTAAATATGGAAGATTACTTTTCCAGCGGCAAAGGAAGTCCTGTTACAGATCTGGAAAACTGGCTATAGGAACCTCAATCCATATGGAAGCTTCAACTAGGATGTTGCTGTTGTCATGTCCAACTCTTTGTGACCTCATTGGGTTTGCTCGGCAAAGATACTGGAGCGGTTTGCCATTTCCTTCTCCAGCCCATTTTACAGATGAGGAAACTGAGGCAAACATGGTTAAGTGACTTGGCCAGGGTCACACAGCTAGTAAGTGTCTAAAGTCAGATTTAAACTCATGAAGAGTGTTCACTGATTCCAAGCCCAATGCTCTATCTACTGCTCCACCTAGCTGCTCTGACTAAGGGATCCCTTTTATTTAAGACTGACCCTGGGTATACAAGCTAGAGTAGGGGTGGGGAACCGTGGCCTTCTAGGTCCTTTGGTGTGGCCTTTTGACTGAATCTGAGTTTTACAGAACAAATCCTTTTATTGTTTTGTTTGTTTGTTAGGCAATTGGGGTTAAGTGACTTGCCCAAGGTCACATAGCTAGTAAGTGTCAAGCTTGGTTTGAGGCCAGATTTGAATTTAGGTCTTCCTGACTTCAGGGCCGGTGCTTTATCCACTGTGCCACCTAGCTGCCCCAACAAATCCTTTTATTAAGAGGATTTGTTCTGTGAAGTTTGGATTCAGTCAAAGGGCTACACTTGAGGACATAGAGGGCCACATGTGGCCTTGAGGCTGCAGGTTCCCCACCTCTGACCTAGAGTGTGATGTAGGTCTCTAACCAGTTACAGGGAATTAACTCGGCCACATTTTCACCACTACCTGGATGAGCAGATATTATATATAATTCCACTCGTGGCCTCAAGCAATGGTCCCAAGAGCCTCTGGGAAATCATGCTGAGGCTTGGGGAAATCTCTGTCCCTAGCAGTCAGAATAGCTGCTGTGACTAAGGCTGTGCCATACTGAGTGGGCTACCCTATGGGAACTATGTGTCTGTTCATACACAGTAGAGTTGTTAAGGCTGTTTTTCTATAGCTGATTAAAACCTACCTCACCACCCGAGCAGTTGGTGCTCTTTAGTGTGATGAAATGATTTCCAAGGACAAATTATATTTCCTCATTTGTCCTTTTGCCCACTAAAATTCTAGTCCAATGCTTCATTATGGCATGGGGTGGCCCTGGGTTCGAAGGCCATGTTAATAGAGGACAGGCTGTGACAGGTTCCACCTGGCTGATAAGGCTTCTAGCTCAGGCCTGGTCGATCACCATATGTCTATCACCCAAGGAGGCTCTCGCTAGAGTTGGCTATCAGCTGATGAATTTTTCGGACACAGAAATTTATGAAACAATCTAAAGCGCAGAAGAGGTTTCAATCTGCATGAATGGAAGAAATACATTTACCAATAAAATCACAGATCCTTGAAGGATTCAAGATGTATCCCTCATTTATCATTTTCTAACAGAATGAGAGCCAGCACCAAATAATTTGCATTCACATCTTGAGCCAAGCCTTGAAAATGATGCAGAAGGGCAGTCCAGGCATGGGGGATAGACAGCCTGTAGTTTACAGGATTGCTCCCGGAGAGCAGGAACAGAGAGAGAAGTGAGGCAAGAGGGCAAGCAGCTGCTCATCGGGCCAGAGCATGCAGATATTCAAGGAAGGGACACCAATGCCTTAAAGGGGGAGGAAGGAAGGTCCAGACAGGGAAGAATCATTTCTTACTGGAAGTTTGGTGGGAACAAGATAGACTTGTTCAACTTGTAAAAGGCCAGAGAATTAAGGATGAAATGACCTAAGATGTTTGAGCTAGGGGGTTGTCCTTTGCTCATTTTCAGTTATTTCTGACTCTTCATGACCCTAACTGGGGTTTTCTTGGCAAAGATATTGGAGTAGCTTGCCATTTCCTTCTCCAGCTCATTTTACAGCTGAGGAAACTGAGGCAAACAGGGTTAAGTGACTTACTCAGGGTCATACAGCTAGTATGAGGCCAGATTTGAACTCACAAAGAGGAGTCTTCCTGACTCCAAGCCCAGCACTCTATACACTGCACCATCTAGCTGCCCCTAGGGGGCTGTAGAAGGGAAATCTCTGCTTAGGCTTAGATTCCCATGTGTTATAGTGAGGGCTGGAGCAGCTTAAACTCAAGGGTAAATAATCACTCAAGTATATTATTAGATACCTACTATGTTCCAGGTACTATGCTGAGCGCTGGAGATACGAAGACAAAAATGAATCAGACTCTGCCCAGAAGTTTTCTAATAAGGGAGATAAGATATATCTCATACACACACACACACACACACACACATATGGGAGACAGATAGAAGTATATACGTATGTATGTCTATGTGTATATACATATATGTCTATGTATACATATATAGACATACATACAGATACACACAATTATTTTAAAAAATAGTTTTGGGGAGGGCTCTAGCTGCTGAGTGAAATCAGGAAAGGCTTTGTGTAGAATATGGTAATTGAAGATGAGTCTTGAAGGAAACCAAATATTTCAAGAGACAGAGGTTAGAAGCCAGTATGTATTCCTGGTAGGGATTATATACCAAACAGTAAAAGGCATGAATATGGAAGATGGAACATCTTGTGTGTGGAACAGGACATAGGACAGTATCGCTGCATCACAAAGTCCATGGAGGGGGATGATGTGTAAGAAGACCGGAAAAGTAGGAAGAGGCCAGCTTGTAAAGAGATTTATTAGCTGCTAAACACTGGAATTATATTTATTACCAGAGGTAACAGGAAGTCATAGCAATTTATTGAGTAGGGGGTGACAGAAATAACTTTGAGGCCTCGGTACAGAAGGTCTAGTTGGTCACAAATAATCCATTAAGTGTTTTCTAGTCAACTTCATATCCATGGAATTAAACATTAATTCACTTAAAAACCTAAATTTCGGGGGAGGTATTTAATGGCAGGAGGGAGCTGGTGGAGGACCAAAATGAAACTGTTAACAACTTTTATAAATGTTGAGTATTAAGATGTTCATTCTCATAAAGTACTTTTTCAGGGCTCTCCATTCTCACCCCTGTTCTACGTTCCTTGGTGGGACTTCATATTGTAAATATTTTAAAATGTTGGCATGTTGTCAACAGAGAGCACAGCACATAGCTTGGTAAAGAAAATTTGATGGTCTTTTCTTTTTTCCTGCCTGGGACCTAGAATTTAGGAACTCTGATAAGAAAGGAGTAATGTGGCATCTTGAAACCTGAAGTGGGGGTACCAGTGATCAGAGGCCAGAGGCCAGAGATGGCTGATGAGAAACAAAATTATGCAGCGGGCAGCATAGGACATAATAATCTACATAGACCATCAAAGAAGCACAACAGTGACTGCAGTTCCTTGTGTTCATGTCAGCATAATAGCTAACAACAGGAAGAACTCAATTCTTTGTAATAAAAGGTTTTATAATAAGGAAACCTGGGAGGGTGGAAGGGGGAAATGTAGGTGATGTAATAACAGAGATATCAATAAAATTTATTTTAAAAAATAATTTTAATCTCTAAGCACTTTAAGGTTTGCAAAGAGCTTTACAATTATGACCTCCTTTGATCTTCACAGTCACCCTTTAGATTAATTTCTCCCTATCAGCTTGTTAGCAGGTATTATGTACATATACATTAGACCTATCTTTTGGACTTTTGTTCTCTCTGACCTCTGACCTCCCACACCCAAACTGACCTGACAGTTGGTGCAATTGAGGATTCTGCTGAACTCAGTTGGTGGTTTGACTGAGTTGGCCAAATTAACTGGTTGTTTTGATGCTGCCTTGCATTCATATTATATGAATATCAGTTAAAGGAAATGGGGGTGTTTAGCTTGGAGGAAACCGGGGTACACTGTAGAGAGGAGGAAATGATAATTTTTTGTTGTTGATGAATTATTTCAGTTGTGTCCAATTCTCTGTGACCCCACTTGGGATTTCTTGGCAAAGATACCAGAGTGGTTAGCTATTTCCTTCTCCAGCTCATTTTACAAATGAGGAAAGTGAGACAGAGTTAAGTGACTTGCCTAGAGTCACACTAAGTGTCTGAAGCTGGATTTGAACTCAGGCAGATGGGTCTTCCTGACTCCAGGCCCAATGTTCTACCCACTACACCACCTAGCTGGTATTTGAAGGGCTGTCATGTGGAAGACGAATGAGTCTTGTTTTATTTGGCCCCAGAAGGAAGAATTAGAGTTATAGGTAGATATGGCAAAGAGACAAATTTGGGCTTGATGCAGGAAAAACCTTTTTAACATTTAGTCATCCTAAAGTGAAGTAGGTTGCCTTAGGAGGTGTTATGAGGGTTTCTTCCCTTACTCACTGAAGTTCTTCCAACTTATCCTGCATGTAGCTTTTTTGTATATAGTTATTTGCATGTTTTCTCTTCCATTAGATTGTAAGCTCCTTGAGGGCAGGGATTTTTTTTTTAACTTTTCTTTGTATCCCCAGTGCTTAGCACTGTGCCTGGTACATAAAAGGTGCTTCATAAATGTTTATTGACTGAATTTAATAAAGGCTGGATCCATTCATTCGATATGTTTTATATGTATATATATACATATATATACATATAGTATATGTGTGTGTGTATATACATATATAAAAATATATATGGTGTGTTTTTTTTTGAGGGCAGGGTATGGGTTGGACAACACGGCCACTGAAATCTCTTCCAGTTCAGAAATTTGGTGAGTCTGAAATAAATTAGAATGAGAGAAACAGAAGGAGAGAGTTTTAAAAGGTCTGTATGGGAGCTGCGGGGGGTTGAGCACTCTCAGGAATTGCCTTGTTTTCCACTGATGGTCTGGAGAACATTCTCTGGTCATGACTCTGGTCTGGTCCCGATCCCTGCTCTATCTCAGTGTATGTGCAAACTAGACACACTCATTTAGACAACCAAGCTCTGAAGCCTCCTTACTTTAAAGTCACACCCCTATACAATGTTAAAAGAAATAGAATTTCGCTAAGATTGGGAAGAAGGTAAAAATGAGGTGCAAATTGCATTGGTGGATGTTCTAAAGGGTTATTTATTAAATTATAACATTCACAATCACTTAGAATTATATTTGCCAAGATTTCAAAACACATCGAATCATCACAATGCAAATTAAATATATTACTTTCCTCCTACCTACTCATGTCATCAAATGGGATAAAAATAGC